GTAACTAGGGAAAAAGCTTTGTCTATTGCAACCCCGCCCCCCCCTCGAGAACTTATGTGCAGGCTTATCAGAACTGCCGGATCATCAGGACTGTGGCCTATCTGAAAGTGCTTCATGGAGAAATCTCAACGTCTTGCCATCAAATGCATATATAATGTGTTCATAAATGTCCTTGCTGGTAGAGTTTTTGATGTCTTAAATCGTGTCCTGATAGGACGAGATGTGAAGAGATCTTTTTTGTAATACCACTATCCATCCTCATGGCTTTTCCCCCTTTTCTATCTAAAAGTATTCTGAAAAGGATAAGAGGCCATGCTCTTAAAGAGCAGCAGCTACGTGCACTCAGTCCATCTTTCGGACGACTGTACGGACGCATTCTCATTGTATCTCGGTGCAATGATGATAAAGCTTATTCTGATTCTGAATCTGATTTGTTGTTATCTACCTGGATGATTGAGCTAAGAAATGTTTTCATCAGCAAAACAATGAAAATTTATCCCATGCTGTTTAATAACTTCACCTAATGGAAGCATACACAGAGCCTTGTGAAAGTATTGGGCCCCTTGAACTTTTCAACCTTTTCCCACATTTCAGGCTTCAAACATAAAGATATAAAATTTAATTTTTTGTGAAGAATCAACAACAAGTGGGACACAATCGTGAAGTGGAATGAAATTTATTGGATGTGTCAAACTTTTTTAACAAATAAAAAACTGAAAAGTGGGGCGTGGAATATTATTGGGCCCCCTTGCGTTAATACTTTGTAGCTCCGCCTTTTGCTGCAGTTCCAGCTGCAGTTCCAGCTGCAAGTCTCTTGGGGTTTGTCTCCATCAGTTTTGAACATGGAGACACTGAAGTTCTGCCCATTCTTCCTGCAGAACAGCTGGAGCTCAGTGAGGTTGGATGGAGAGCGTTTGTGAACAGCAGTCTTCAGCTCTTTCCACAGATTCTGGATTGGATTCAGGTCTGGACTTTGACTTGGCCATTCCAACACCTGGATACGTTTATTTGTGAACCATTCCATTGTAGATGTGTCTTTATGTTTTGGATCATTGTCTTGTTGGAAGATAAATCTCCGTCCCAGTCTCAGGTCTCTTGCAGACTCAAACAGGTTTTCTTCCAGAATGGTCCTGTATTTGTCCCCATCCATCTTCCATCAATTCTGACCATCTTCCCTGTCCCTGCTGATGAAAAGCAGGCCCAAACCATGATGCTGCCACCACCATGTTTGACAGTGGGGATGGTGTGTTCAGGGTGATGAGCTGTGTTGCTTTTACTCCAAACATATCGTTTTGCATTGTGTCCAAACAGTTGGATTTTGGTTTCATGTGACCAGAGCACCTTCTTCCACATGTTTGGTGTCTCCCAGGTGACAAACTTTAAACAACACTTTTTATGGAGATCTTTGAGAAATGTCTTTCTTCTTGCCACTCTTCCATAAAGGCCAGATTTGTGCAGTGTACGACTGATTGTTGTCCTATGGACAGACTCTCCCACCTCAGCTGTAGATCTCTGCAGTTCATCCAGAGTGATCATGGGCCTCTTGGCTGCATCTCTGATCAGTCTTCTCCTTGTTCCAGATGAAAGTTTAGAGGGACGGCCGGGTCTTGGTAGATTTGCAGTGGTCTCATACTCCTTCCATTTCAATATGATTGCTTGCACAGTGCTCCTTGGGATGTTTAAAGCTTGGGAATTATTTTTGTATCCAAATCCAGCTTTAAACTTCTCCACAACAGTATCTCGGACCTGCCTGGTGTGTTCCTTGGTCTTCATGATGCTCTCTGCGCTTTGAACAGAACCCTGAGACGATCACAGAGCAGGTGCATTTATATGGAGACTTGATCACACACAGGTGGATTCTATTGATCATCATGAGTCATTTGGGACAACATTGGATCATTCATAGATCCTCACTGAACTTCTGGACTGAGTTTGCTGCTCTGAAAGTAAAGAGGCCCAATAATACTGCACGCCCCACTTTTCAGTTTTTATTTGTTAAAAAAGTTTGACACATCCAATAAATTTCATTCCACTTCACGATTGTGTCCCACTTGTTGTTGATTCTTCACAAAAAATTAACATTTTATATCTTTATGTTTGAAGCCTGAAATGTCAGAGTCAGAGTTTCTTTATTGTCATTCGCACCTCATGTGGTACATGTGGTGGAGCGAAATTATGTTCACAGGGTCCCAGTTACATCCAACAATAAAATGTATAAGAAAAACAGTAATAACATCTAAGATATGAACTAAGAAAAACATCAACTAAATATACACTAAGCACTCATAACATAAAACATTGAACATCAGCACAAACATGAACATGAGTCTGTGAGCAGATGTGCACGCATGAACACATCAACATTGAAACAGATCAGCAGCAACATGATATGGTTTTTCACAGTGATTATTCTGGTTAGAGATTCATGAGTCTAACAGCCTCAGGGTAGAAGCTGTTCCTCAGTCTAGTGGTTCTACACTTAATGCTCCTTAACCTCCTTCCTGAGGGGAGTGGGGCAAAAAGTGTGTGTGCTGGGTGAGTGGGGTCCTTCATGAGGATGTGGCAAAAGGTTGAAAAGTTCAAGGGGCACAATACTTTCACAAGGCACTGTATAAGGTTAAGAGTATTGGTCCAAGCACTGAACCTTGAAGAACTCTACGACTAACTTTGGTGTATGAAGAAGATTCATTAATTACATTTACAAACTGGAATCTATCAGATAGATATGATTTAAACCAATTTAAAGCCGTTCCTGTAATTCCAATTCAACCTTTATTTTTACAGGTTAGTCTCATTGAGCCTCAAGGACTCATTTACAAGAGAGACCTGATTTTAACAAAGAAAGATGACAACAGTAGACGGCAATGACAATAATAGACAATCTTAAAAAAGGCATGTAAATTGAAATAAATAAATAAATGGAAGAAAATGAAGTTTTAAAAAACAAAAACATCTACATTATAAGGTGATCTAGAAAACTAAAAAGAGGAACATGTCTGCATCGGTTCTTGCCAGGAACTTATCAGATGTTTGGAGTCACTTAGAGAGGTCAAAGGTCGAGAGCTTCAGCTCTTTTTGCAAGATATTCCAGGAAACAGGAGCAGAGTAGGAGAAGGTCCTTTAGTCTAGTTCAGTCCTCACTGAGGGAACACTGCAGGTAATGATGTCCTGAGAGCGCACGCTGTAGCTGCACTCACACAGAGACATGTAGGAGGAGATGTATGAAGGCAGCAGACCAGGAAGTGATTTAAAGATGGAGATGTACCAGTGGGAGAGTCTGTGTGGAGTTAATGGTGACCAGTTAACCAGTGAATACTGGGTGCAGTGGTGGGTACGGTAGTTACAGCCAGTTATGAATCTTAGTGCACCATGATAGACAGCATCCAACATCTGCAGCATCCAACATCTGCAGCATCCAACATCTGCAGCATCCAACATCTGCAGGGTTCTTGTAGGAGCGTTCATGTAAATAATGTCACCGTAATCAATGGAGGGAAGGAAAGTCACAGATACAAGGTGTTTCCTAACATTCAGGGTTAGACAGGATCTGTTTCTGAAAAAGAAACCCAGTTTAACTTTCAGTTTCTTTACCAAGTTTTCCACATGAAGCTTAAAAGAGAGATGTGAGTCGACCAAGATACACAAATATTTATAGGAATCAACAAACTCAATAGTGACATTTTAACAGCTATACTTAACCTATCACTTTCAACGTCTACATGAATATTGAAATCACCAATTATTATGACTTTATCAGTATTTAATAGTAAGTCAGTTAATAATTCTGACAAGAACTGAGCATATGAGCCTGGTGGACGATATTTAATAATTAGTGAGAGTGGCCGCTCCATTTTCCATTTAGGATGGGACAGACTTAGAGAACGTGATTCAAAAGAATCATAATTAATAACTGGTTTGGCTTTAATCAATAACCCTGACTGAAAAATAGAAGCTACTCCTCCACCTCGGCCAGTTGTTCTAGGAACATGAACATTTAAATAATTAACAGGAGTGGATTCATTTATACCAACAAAATCCTAACAGGGTTTTTGAGGAAAGAGATCTGATGTTCAATAATCCACTTTTAATCATGTTATTTTTTTTGCTCTGGTAAAGTAACTGTGTTTGTTTCAATCAGATTTTTATGGTTTATATTTTTAGAGCCGATTTTTGGTTTATTTAATTTGAGCCGTGGGCGAGTTGACACTGTTTCAATGGGTGTGTGTGTGTGTGGGGGGGGGGGGGTAGCAGAGGAGAAGCAGCATTTTAAGTCTGCATGTGACACATCGGGCCACTGGGTGGCGCCGTTCATTCAATCTGATGAAGTCCAGTCCATATTTTAATTTTAATTTATTAAATGCTGGATATAGTTTATCAACAGGGATATTACATATTGAGATGCCTAACGGACCATAATATTTTATCACTTAGAAACTAAAAAAAAAGCTGTACTGTTGTTGTAAAGGGGTGGAGCTTCACATAGACATTAGATAATGGATGCTCCACTCCATACCAGATGTTATTGACATCTGATCCATGAAACTCCAACATGATGGAGAAATCTGAGATACGTCACACTGATCCGTTTAAAAACCCGACAGTAGAATAAAACAAACTGGCCTCAGATTATCTCATTTCATTCGTGACGTTGGTGATTCAGAGGACGTTCATTTAATTCCTTCAGAGATAAATCTGTTTCTGATGTGTCACCGTCGTCTGGCTGGAGATTCTCTGATTGATCAGTTCCTCTGTAGGATTCTGATCCTCTGATTCCTCGGGCGGGGGTGTTATCTCCGGCTGGTGGACCTTCAGACTTCTGGGTCATTCGGAGCTGATCTCAGAACAGTGGCAGAAACCTGAGTGGATGTTTGATTGAAGGATTATTTTACGGTCATGTGTCCCTCGATGTAGGAGGGTTTAATCCATCATGACATCTGATTGGTGGCTGCGTTGGGCTCTGATCCACTAATCCTGGTTTATATAAGTGATGGGACACAGCAGGAGGATTTCCCTGAGAGAGCACCACGAGCGTTCTGATGGAGGTCTGATCTCTGAGGAGGAGCGCTTCGCTTCCTGACGTGAGTAATGTTTGAATCTGTTTCTGGAGGATCTCCTCAAAACGCCCTCAGGGATATCCTGATGCATGCTCAATAATCCAGGTAGAAAAATCCAAAAAAGTTCAATCTGGTCCTCTGGACATTCAAAAAAACAAAACAAAGCAAAAAAATGTAGAAACATTTCGTCTCTCATCCAAAGGACTTCCTCAGTCTGAGGTGCTGTATTCAGCTCAGTCTCTTAAATAGCACCTTCTCAGAGTGGATCAACCAGTTTTGCTGCTGACAACCAGAACCAGCTGATCACATGCTCAAGAAGGACCATCAGCCTAACAATGGATCATTAGCACCTGATGGCTGTTTACTGTTCACAGAGGGCTGAGTGATACTAGCAATCACAGCATTGTAAGAGGGGGACAATTGAACCTGGAGGCTCCACCCCTGTTTAATGATGGACGGTTTCTTTTCACAAAGATGGCCTCCTTTACTCCTCTCTCAAACCATCGTTCCTCTCTGTCCAGGATGTGAACACAGCAGCAGAACAATCAGCACCTCAGACTGAAGAAGTCTCTTGGATGAGAGACGAAACGTTTCTATATTTTTTTGCTTTGTTTTGTTTTTTGTTTTTTTGAATGTCCAGAGGACCAGATTGAACTTTTTGGGGCCCTCAGGGATGTTTGGCTGCGTATTTTCAGGGTTTACTTAGAAACCTTAAAGAAAACAGCCAACGTCACGTAGATAAACAGTTATTTTCTTGAAAGTGCAGTGAAAACACAGAACACAAGCTGAAAGGATCAGAATGTGAGCTAAAAATACTGAGCATGAGATCAACAAGAAAAACATGAGCTAAAAGAAGCAGAATACAAGCTAAATGGATCAGAACATGAGCTAAAATGATCAAAACATGAGCTAAAACAAGCAAAACATGACCTAAAACAAGCAGAATACAAGCTAAAAGAAGCAGAATACAAACTAAATGGATCAGAACATGAGCTAAAAGGATCAGAACATGAGCTAAAAGGATCAAAACATGAGCTAAAACAAGCCGAATACAAGCAAATTGTTTAGAATAGTAAAAAAACAACTAAAATGAGCAGAACAGTAGCTTCAAACTAGAACAGTACTTTAAAGTTAACTTTAGCCAAAGTAGCTGAAGCTAAAAGCAGAGAAAGAAACATTTCAGCTGATGTCCTTCAGCGTTTCTTCTTCTTCTCCATGACTAAAAGTTTCCTCCGGCTGACTTCCTGTCTCTCCTGAGGACAGTCTGTAGTTGAACGCCTGCTTTGCTCCTCGCTGCGTCACCTCCGCTGCCTAGTGCCCTCCCTCCCCCAGAGGCTGTTACCGTGGTAACACTCTCGGGGAGTTGGGGGGGCACATCCCAGGACTTCGTTTTCCGGCTCTGTGTGAAGGCGACGCTCCGCTCGCTGACTGAGCTCCTGCTGTGTGGGGGGAGTCAGGGGGAGGTCAGGGGGGCCGCCATGCTCTGGGGAAGCCCCCTCACCTGGCTCTGTGGTTGTTTTTCGTAGGTCTTTCAGCTCTCCTGCTCCTCGGTTCGAAGCTCCGTGCTCCAACAGAACCAAACATCTGTCCTCTCTGTCTCACAGGACCAGAGGACTTCCCAAGTTGAAGGAGTCCAGTTCCCATGAGTCTCTGGTGAGTCCAGGCAGCGCCGTGGAGACTCTGGACCTGAGCATGGAGGAGGACGTGTTCATCAAACCTTTGCACAGCAGCATCCTGGGCCAGGAGTTCTGCTTCGAGGTCAACACACACACAAACACTCACATCTCATGTCCTCACCTTCTGGACGAGGACGTGTCCAAATGTTTCTGGTCTTCTGTCCGTCCTGTCTCACCTGTCAGGTGACGTACTCGGGCGGCAGTAAGTGTTTCAGCTGCACGTCGGCCTCAGAGAGGGACAAGTGGATGGAGAACTTGAGGAGGACCATCCAGCCCAACAAGGTGAGACAGACCGGAGGTCCAGCTGAGGTCTGGTTCTGATGTTTGAGATGTTCACAGTGAGTCTGTTTGTGTCTCCAGGACAACTGCCGGCGGGCCGAGAACCTGCTGCGTCTCTGGATCATCGAGGCCAAAGACCTGCCGCCCAAGAAGAAGTACTTCTGTGAGCTGTGTCTGGACGACGTGCTGTACGCCCGGACCACCAGCAAGACCCGGCAGGACAGCCTGTTCTGGGGCGAGTCCTTCGACTTCTGCGGCCTGCCCGCCGTGCGCAGCATCACCGCGCACATCTACAGAGACGTGGACAAGAAGAAGAAGAAGGACAAGAACAACTACGTGGGCCTGGTCAACATCCCCGTGTCGGGCGTGACGGGCCGGCAGTTTGTGGAGAAGTGGTACCCGGTCAGCACGCCCACCTCCAGCAAGTCCAAAGGAGGCGGGCCATCGATCCGGATCAAGTCCCGCTTCCAGACCATCTCCATCCTGCCCATGGAGCAGTACAAGGAGTTCGCCGAGTTTGTCACCAACAACTACACCATGCTGTGCTCCGTGCTGGAGCCCGTCATCAGCGTCAAGAACAAGGAGGAGATGGCGTGCGCACTGGTGCACATCCTGCAGAGCACGGGCCGGGCCAAGGTCAGAACCAGAACCAGGATGCAACTTCACACTGAGCAACATCTAGTTTCTGTTCCTGCAGCTGGGGCCGTGTGGCGCCGCCTGCTGGATCAAACTAAAACTGATCCGCTTCGTTCGATGGAGGTCAGAAGGTTCTGGTCCAGTTCAGGATTTATTTAGAGGAAATAGTTCAGAGCGCTTTAGTTTATTGTTTATTTGTCATATGCAGGTCAACACAAGGTCAACACAAGGTCAACAGTACAGTGAAATGTTGAGGTTGAGAAGAACCGATTCGACTCGATAAAAACAAACAAGAGATACTAAAGCAGTAAGAACCAGAAGTGAAAAAGAAATAACATTCATTCATTCAAGCTTTATCTCTACAGGTTAGTCCCGCTGAGCCTCGAGGACTCGTTTACAGCAGAGACCTGGTTTAACAAAGAACGTGACAACAGTGGACAGTTATAAAGAAAGCAAATGAACTGGCAACAAGTGAAAGAAAATGGTATTAATAAAACATCTAGGTTGTAAAGTGACGTAGGAAACTAAAAACAGGAACATGGATTTACAAGGTCCAAGAGAAATCTAATAAACAACAACATGGTAGAATATAAAGATGCAAGTAGGATGAATTAGTATAAATATGTATTTCACAGGTAGTAGTAATACGGGCTAAAATGCACATAACTACCATAAACTACACGTGTTGTGTGACAGGTGATTGCACAGGTAGATACATACATGATACAAGGTGCAGCAGCAATAAACATAGCTGTCAAGTTCATCTCAAGTTTATTGTCATTCTCCTCACATGTGGAACATGAGGTGGAACAAGATTGTGTACACAAAGTCCCAGTTACTCCCAAAACTAGCAAAAATATAAAGTGTAAGAAGAAACATTAAATAAGGATCTTACGCTAAACATAATGTAAAACAATACGGCATAACAACAGCAGCCCGAACATGAGTCTGTGGTGAGCAGATGGGTTTCAATGAATACAGCAGCATGGATAATCAGCAGCATGAGATCAGCAGCATAGATAAGTCACATCTCACGAGTTAAAGTTTCATCACAGTGATTCTCCTGGTTAGAGGTTCATGAGTCTAACAGCCTCAGGGTAGAAGCTGTTCCTCAGTCTAGTGGTTCTACACTTAATGCTCCTTAACCTCCTTCCTGAGGGGAGTGGGGCAAAAAGTGTGTGTGCTGGGTGAGTGGGGTCCTTCATGATGCAGGTGGCCCTCTTCCTGCATCTGGAGGTGTAGATGTCTGTGATGGTGGGGAGACTGACTCCAACATCTTCTGTGCAGCCTTCACCACTCTCTGCAAAGCTTTTCTTTCTGCAGCTGTGCAGCCTCCATGCCACACGTTGATGCTGGAGCACAGGATGCTCTCCACTGCACACCTGTAGAAGGAGGTGAGGACTGAGCTTCCAGACCAGCTCGTCTCAGCCGTCTGAGGAAGTAGAGTCTCTGATGAGCTTTCTTCATCAGGTCTGGTGGTGTTGTTGCTCCAGCTGAGGTTGTTGTTCAGGTGCACACCCAAGTACTTGTAGCTGGAGACCACTTCCACCGCAGATCCTCTTATGTTCAGGGGGGTGTAGATGTTTTTGTTCCTTCTGAAGTCCACAATCATCTCCTTAGTTTTCTTCACATTGATGTGAAGGTTGTTCTCTTTGCACCAGCTCTCCAGGTGTTCCACCTCCTGCCTGCAGCTGGACTCATCGTTGTTGTGATGCATCCCACCACCGCTGTATCATCTGCGAACTTTACAATTAGGGGTGCACCGATAAATCAGCCCCGATTTCCTTAATTTTGAGAGATCGGCTGATACATGAGAAACTGATTTTACAGATTTTTTAGTTTTAACATCAATTGTCTGAACTTCATTAATATTTCAAAGCATTACCTAATGGCCAGTTAAAACCAGTTTGTATTGTTTCTAGGATATTGATCAAGGATCTGTTTTCAATAAAATAATATTGGAAACTGAAGGTGCATTGTGACCTTCTAACACCTGACAGTGTCGCTTATGAAACAAAATCGGACACAAAATCAGGTCAGACATTTTAGAGATCGGTGATCGGCCAGAAAACTAGAATCGGTGCACCCCTGTTTACAGTGTGACAGCATGGATGGGTAGGTGCACAGTCAGCAGAGTGAACAGGAGGGGGCTCAGCACACAGCCCTGAGGAGAGCCAGTGCTGAGGGTTATGGTGGAGGAGGAGAAGTTGTGAATCCTCAATGACTGTGGTCTGCTTGTTAAGAAGTCCAGGACCCAGTTGTAAATGGAGGGGCTTAGTCCTGGTGTGAGCAGTTTGTCCATCAGGGTTTGGGGGATCATGGTGTTGAAGACTGACGTGAAGTCCACAAAGATCATACGGACGTATGAGTCCTGCTCCAGGTGGGTGAGAGCAGTGTGGACTACAGAGGAGACGTGTCCTCTGTTGATCGGTTCTTGTAGGTCCTCGCTGATGTTCATGGTTGTTTTAACTTTACTCTTTTTGTTTCTAAAACGTTTTCAAATTAACACAGATGATAAATAATTCATCTGTTGATGATTGAGGTTCAAAGATTAAAGATTAAAACCTCTTCTCCTCCTCCTGCTCCTCCTCCTGGGTGGCCCCCAGGACTTCCTGACGGACCTGGTGATGTCGGAGGTGGATCGGTGTGCGGACCACGATGTCCTGATCTTCAGGGAGAACACTCTGGCCACCAAGGCCATCGAGGAGTACCTGAAGCTGGTGGGACAGAAGTACCTCCACGACGCACTGGGTGAGCCTCACAACATCTGCAGGAACATCTGGTGTTCCAGAGGAGGAGGAGGTGAAGCAGCGTCCTCCTGCTCCTCGAAGACTCTCAGCTACTCTACCACACCACACTGCAGCCATCTTTCACCACACCAGTTGTAGACGTTCATCCACTGACTGTGTCCAGTTCATGATATTTTGCTAACACACACACACAGGCCATTACATGATCGCCCGTCCTGAACACGGACAGTTGAAACAATTTGTTAATAATTACACCTGCTTTGATTGACGCGTGTGCGTGTGTGTGTGTGTGTCTGTGTGTCTGTGTGCGTGTGTGTGTCTGTGTGTGTGTGTGTGTGTGTGTGTGCGTGCGTGTGTGCGTGTGTGTCTCTCCCAGGTGAGTTCATCAAGGCTCTGTATGAGTCTGATGAGAACTGTGAGGTGGACCCCAGTCGGTGTTCCAGCAGTGATCTTCCAGAACATCAGAGTAACCTGAAGATGTGCTGCGAGCTGGCCTTCTGCAAGATCATCAACTCCTACTGGTGAGAGCACACGTGCACGGGAACATGCACCTTAACCACTCCAACATGAAACACAAGAAGAAGAAAAAGTCAGTGACTGGGCCTAACTGGGCCTTCCTGAAAGAAGAAACCCAAACAGGACTCCAGTCAGCCAACAGGTGAAAAGGAGGAACCCAGACCCAGACCAGTGGTCATTCCAGATGTTGAGGGAGTATCAGAGAAACTGAGACGTTTATTTTCTAAACATAACGTCCCAGTGGCTTTTAAACCCCAAAATACATTAGACTGGTTCATCCCAAAGATCCAGTCCCCCGGCACAAACAGAGTAATGTTGTGTATGTTGTTCAGTGTCAGGAGGGTGATCAGTCTTACATCGGGGAAACTAAACAGCCACTGGCCAAAAGGATGGCCCAGCACAGAAGATCAACATCATCAGGCCAGGACTCTGAGGTCTACACTCATCTCCAGGCCAGCGGTCACTCTTTCAGGGATGAAGATGTTCACATCCTGGACAGAGAGGAACGATGGTTTGAGAGAGGAGTAAAGGAGGCCATCTTTGTGAAAAGACACCGTCCATCATTAAACAGGGGTGGAGCCTCCGGGTTCAACTGTCCCCCTCTTACAATGCTGTGATTGCTAGTATCACTCAGCCCTCTGTGAACAGTAAACAGCCATCAGGTGCTAATGATCCATTGTTAGGCTGATGGTCCTTCTTGAGCATGTGATCAGCTGGTTCTGGTTGTCAGCAGCAAACTGGTTGATCCACTCTGAGAAGGTGCTATTTAAGAGACTGAGCTGAATACAGCTCCTCAGACTGAGGAAGTCCTCAGGATGAGAGACGGAACGTTTCTACATTTTTTGTTGTTGATTTGCTTTGTTTTATTTTTTTGAATGTCCAGAGGACCAGATTGAACTTTTTTAGATTTTTCTACCTGGATTATTGAGCATGCATCAGGATAAAAAGTCAGTGAGGTTTACACGACGTGGAACGTTCATTTACAGACAACATCCTGGTTCTCTCTGAAACTGAAGGTTTCTGAGTCCAGGTCTCAGAGCGGAGGTTTTCAGGGGAACCCCCCATGGAGGTGTCAATAGTCTCCCGCAGAGATGTTAAAGCACGTGCACACTACAGGCGTATGTTTCACGCACGTGCAGAGCGATGGCATATTTGAACATCAGTGGTGCTGGAGTAGAACGTCCTGTTTTCTGAGCTACGACTGATGGAATATATTTAATCTCGTGGTTAATCTGCAGCAGAATGTAGCTGCTGCCACCACCAGGTGCTGGAGGAGACTCCAGTCACATCCACTTCTAATGTCTCTGTTTATTGAAGGAGGCAGGCGGATATTCACGTGTCGCGCTGCTTTATAACATTCTAAATGTGCTCAGTAATAATAGTATCAATAATCAATGTTTCTGTTAGTGGTGGGAGATGAAAGAAGCTCTCTGAGCTCAACGACTGTCTGGACATGATGTCATTCAACTTATGATTTAAACATGTGAAACATGTTGCATGTTATTAAAGTTGAAAATCAAGACATGGGCTTTAATGTATTTATTCAACACCACAAAGTGTACGTCACACAAACACTGATAATGAAACCGAACACACCGTTAACCCAGTTAAGTGTAAAGTACTTGAGTGAACTGGACTCGTCCTCCTCCGTCGTCCTGGATACTGACGCCATGTTGTTTATGTGACTTGTTCAGGCGTCACTGCTTTGATGAATGCAGCTTCAAACACTGAACGCACTGAATTAAAGAAGTGACTAGTTGGTCCAACGTCTCTCTTCGACAGCGTCCTCCTGCACCACCAAGCTTCGGGCCGGGCCGAGGTGTAGGCTCGTTCAGAACCGGTCCCTCAGTTGGTTGTTGTGTAACCGAAGTAAACACAAACTAACATGATTAAGAACGTTGATTTACCTGCTGTAACTGCTGATTATCACCGAGTAAAGTCCCACGTCATCCTCGTCGGTTCTGGTCCACTCAGCGACCGGTGTGGAGCTGTTACATGAAGCGGTCCCGCTTGGCGTCACATCTGTCGACTCGTATCTGAAGTCCAGACTTAAGTTTTGTTGTTACTGGACTTTCAGTCCTGAGGAAGGACCTGACAGGGAGCGGTCCCAGGCAGCATGTGCATCACATGAATGTACAAAGTTCACAGCGACAACTAATGACCCCACATGCTAACTACAGCGGGTGGGGGGTGGGGGGGTCCTGCAGATGCATGTAGACACAAAATCTGACGTGTCAACGTGGATCTTTTCCTCTAATCAACATCCGATGAAACACGTTTCCCCCCGTGTCCGTGTAAACGGGGCCTAAATCCAGGTCTGAGTGGAGATTTTCAGGGAACACCCCCCACGGAGGAGTGAGATGCTCCAGATGTGAAGTGGCACATGCACACTCCAGGCAGCTGCAGTCCAAAGTTTTTCTGCTCTAACAACAGTTATAATAAATAACAACATTTATAACAAATAACAACAGTTATAACAAATAACAACATTTATAACAAATAACAACAGTTATAATATATATAACAACAGTTATATTAAATAACAGTTATAATAAATATAACAAAAGTTATAATAAATAACAACAGTTATAACAAATATAACAAAAGTTATAATAAATAACAACAGTTATAATAAATATAACAACAGTTATAATAAATAACAGTTATAATAAATATAACAACAGTTATAATAAATAACCGTTATAATAAATAACAAAAGTTATAATAAATAACAACAGTTATAACAAATAACAACAGTTATAATAAATAAGTTATAATAAATATAACAACAGTTATAATAAATATAACAACAGTTATAATAAATATAACAACAGTTATAACAAATATCAACAGTTATAATAAATAGCAGTTATAATAAATATAACAGTTATAATAAATATAACAACAGTTATAATAAATATAACAAAAGTTATAATAAATATAACAACAGTTATAATAAATATGACAACAGTTATAACAAATATCAACAGTTATAATAAATAGCAGTTATAATAAATATAACAGTTATAATAAATATAACAACAGTTATAATAAATATAACAACAGTTATAATAAATATAACAACAGTTATAATAAATAACAACAGTTATAACAAATATAGCAAAAGTTATAATAAATAACCGTTATAATAAATAACAAAAGTTATAATAAATAACAACAGTTGTAACAAATATAACAGTTTCAGCCAGTTCCCACAGCGTCACATCTGAAAGTTTGCTGATGACTCTGTCATCCTGTCCCTTCTGAACAGTGAGGACCCAGACCCGGGGCCTGTGGTCGGGGGCTTCACTGAATGTGTGAGACTTCCGTTTTTAAAGTTAAATGTTTCTAAGACAAAGACGATGCTCACTGATTTTAGAAAAGTCTCTCCAGCTGCAGCTCCTGTGGTCATTAACGGTGACGCTGTTGGGGTGGTGCACCAGTATAAACATCTGGGAACTGTTCTTGATGACAAACATTCTGAAGTCGTTCAGGATCACGTCTGTGTTCAGAGGTCGTTCAGGGTCACGACATCATTTTAAACGTGTGTTTTCATCCTCAGCGTGTTTCCTCGCGAGCTGAAGGAGGTGTTTGCGTCGTGGAAGCAGCAGTGCGTCGCCCGCGGACACCAGCAGGACATCAGCAAGCGTCTGATCAGCGCCTCGCTCTTCCTGCGCTTCCTCTGCCCCGCCATCATGGCGCCATCGCTCTTCAGTCTGATGCAGGAGTACCCTGACGACCGCACGTCCCGCACGCTCACGCTCATCGCCAAAGTTATCCAGAACCTTGCCAACTTCACCAAGTGAGTCCCCGCCTCCAGGAGGGGCCATTTCCTCCAAGGCGCTCTGTGACACGTCTCCTCCGCAGGTTCGGGAACAAGGAGGAGTACATGGCCTTCATGAACGACTTCCTGGAGCACGAGTGGGCAGGGATGATGCGTTTCCTGTCGGAGATCTCCAACCCCGAGACCCTGACCAGCACGCCGGGCTTCGAGGGTTACATCGACCTCGGCCGCGAACTGTCGGTGCTGCATGCCCTTCTGTGGGAGGTGGTGTCCCAGCTGGACAAGGTGTGTGTCTCTGTGTCTGTGTGTCAGAGCTGCATGTCTCCCTCCTCCCTGCATGCCGTGTCCCACAAAGCTGTCCTGTGGTCCGTGTGTTGGGGATGACTCTCAGCTACCACCACAGCAGGATTCAGCTCAGTTTCTGTGAAACTAACTGAGGTCTGATCCTTTTGCTCTTTGCTGAGCTCAGATGGCTGTGGGGGCCATTTTGAATTGGACTGACTACAAGTTATTCAGGTGTACATGTTCATTCAGGGTTTGAGTCCTCTGGTTTGTGAGATATTTTACTAACACAAATGAGCGCACACTCAGGGACAGCCATGAGCGCCGGCCTTTGTCTACAACAGCAGGAAGTACAAAATAAACCTGATCATTAGGCCTGTTGCGATAAATAATAAATCCATTAATCACGATTAATTAAAATTATTGACCTCGTTTTCATTTATCAGCTTTATCGCTTCTTCGTGTCTCTCTCTTCCTACTGAAGACTAGGGCTTTAACAGACTACTCGAATAATCTACACATCGATTCCTAGGACACCTATCGAGGTTTTTAATTTCACGTCGAGTATTGGTGGTGACGTCATTCACGTGTCACGTGATCCGCACCGGGCGCAGGTTACAAAATGGATTCCTCCCAGCAGACGGACGGAGCGGAGCAGGTCCAGTCTTGACAAACAGGTAGAACTGCATCAGTATTATGGAAATATTTCACTAAAGATGAATCTTCTGGTTCAACTACCGTAAGGAAACAGGAGATGAATCAACTTCCTGACTGTTTGGAGCTGTTGTGAACCGGTGTTACACCATATTCTGTGACCACCGTATATTGTGACCGTAGGGGGTGGTGTTGCATGCACTGTTGCTGGTCACAGAATATGGTGCAACACCGGGTCCAATCACCGAACCAGAACCAGCTTCCTCTGACCTTGTTTCACAAACTAAAAGCAAAAAACATTTATCTCTAAACCTATAAAAATCTATAAACATATTAAACTCTAAAACTAAACTTAATGCACCACAGCTGGTGGTGATGCGGGGTGGTCGACCCCCCACTGGTTTTAGTTTAGTTTTTGACGTGCTGCATGTTTCTTTAAATTTTGCAGCTTAATAATAATAAAAACTAATAGTTTAATTTTTCCTGTGATTTATTTGCAGTTTGATAAATGGGAGGAGCAAAATATACTCTTCTGATGCTTTGTTGGTCTTTTTTTGTAAATAATGACCTTTTTTTGCGGTTTTATTTATTTATTTATTTTTATATCTTTATATCCTATGATGTCATCAAGTACTCGAGTTCTACTCGAGTTTTATTATGTTAATGTCGAGTTTAAAAATGATGTAGTCGTTCAACCCCTACTGAAGACACTGAATGACGAGACTCAACTCTTGTTCTTCACTGACCCCTCGCTTTCTCGTTTAAATCTGTTTTAACGATACAAAATCGCATTTTTGGATCGTTAAAAGCAGCTAAGCTGAAAAGCTAAGCTACGAGCTAAGCTAACAGGCCGACCTCCGGAATAAACCTCCGTCTTGTCGCTCCAAAATTCACGGTTGAAACCTGTGCCTTCATGTAAAAAGTTGTTTTTCTCTGAAAAAAGAAGCTGAGAGCTGAGAATTTTTATTAAAAGCTTTGTGTGAAAAATGCTAAAGAGCTCAAACCACCGAGCGTCTGCCATTTTGAGAACCAAAGAGAGACAGCCCATGTCACGTCAAGGGGCCTCTCTCCCAGTTTTTCTTGAAGAGACACGCTGCTCGCTCCATCACTATCCATCCATCAGTTCAGACAGTCTTGTACTGCCATCCGGTGGTCAAAAAAGGTACTACATGCAAAACAAATTAAACATTTAATTAATTATTAATTAATTATTGTCAAATTTCAAACAATATTATCGTTTATTGCAATAATTTCTGAGACAATTAATCGCCAGCAAAATTTGTTATCGTGACAGGCCTACTGAACATCATCATAACACTCTATTGGTTTTCAATAATTTTGCAAAGTGCTCAGCCTCTCCTGGAGGCGATGGTCAGAGGAAGAACCAGAACCTTTTCAGGAAATGTTTCCGACCCGTTGGAGCTCAGGAGTCAGAAGACTGTTCGTTGAAGGGAAAACATCTGGAGCAGAGATGAACGCCACTTCGACATCGATGAGTGCGACTCCACTCGGCTCTTGTCTCATCAGTTCTTCTCAGGTGGAGGTGACCTGTTTCCTGCTCAGTGGGTGGGACCATAATTGGTCATTGTGTTTGAGCCACTCCTCTCGTTGTGCTCCTTAATCAGACCTGGACCTGGGTTATCTTATCTCGACTCTGCTCATCACTCCGGATGCAGCCGTGCTGCGCCGTCATCTCTCGTGTCTCTGTATGAGCTCAGTTCTTGTGGTGCCATCCGTCAACAGGAAGAGGAAGTGGAGGTACAGATGTAGTTCGCCGGTCATCCAGTGATCTAGCTCTACTGTCCAGTCAACGGCTGCTGTCTGCGTACGTCAGAATCGACCCCTCGGAGCATTCCACTTGGAACCACGAACAAGGCCGTCCCATAAACTGGGCTGAGTGGGGTGGTACCAGCAGTGGGCAGGGCCTTAACTGGTGTGATGTGCAGGTAGTAACAGAGCCAAAATGGCTGAAGTACAAACCCGATCAGCCTCTGCAAGAGCACACAGCCTGCCTGAGTGATGAGGTACGACCACCAAACAACAACCAGGTTCATCGTGGAGGCAGGATGGATGACGACCCGCGACCCGCAGCAGCTCTGTGTTGACCTCAAACTGATTTAAGACCAGAGAGGATCGTGGTGTTTTATGAACCAGGTGAGATCCAGAGGAGAAGCAGCTCCAGGTTAACCCAGCTGAGTTCTGCTTCATTCAGTCAGAACTGAAAGGAAAAACTCACGACTTCATCTTTTTCTGTCGAACAGAAAACATTTTTACTTCGTTCACTGTCAACGGCAACAATAAAAAGTTTTAAAAACGATAAGCTGGAAACCCAAAAGAAGTCCCTTCCTGTTTGTAGAGCGTTGCTGAGGGAAGTTTTATTAATAAAGTTTTTATGAAACTTTATTAGTCCTGATGAATCCGCTGATTGATCCCTCCTGTTCTTCACAGAATCATTAATCATCATCAGTCAGTTATTTGTTATTGACGGTCTCCACCAGAGTTCATGAAGCTGCTGATCATCACAGCATGACACCCCCCCCCCACACACACACACACACACACGATCTCCCGCCTCAGAGCTCGCTTTCAGCATGGTTCTGCTGTGTTCTGGTTTTGTTCAGTAGAAGCATGATGTTCTAGTCTGTTTTGGTTTCCATTCCTCATGTTTTTTCCTTCCTCTTCCTCTTCTTGGTCACTTCCTGTTTCCTGCCACCATGTTTGCTCCTCCCCCCACCGCCTCCATCCACCCTCCACCTGCCCACAATCACAAACACACGCCGACCACAGGGTGAAAATTCCTTCCTGCAGGCCACCGTAGCCAAGCTGGGCCCACTGCCGAGGATTCTGGGAGATATCTCTCGCTGTCTGTCTGCTCCCACGCCCGTCCAGCAGCTACACCGTTTCCAGAACAACAGCCCCGCCCACAACTTGAGCGGCAGCGTGTCGTCAGGGCTGCAGCGGATCTTTGAGGACCCCACGGACAGGTAACCAATCAGCCGACAGGTAACTGAGTTTAAGCAGAGGCTTCAGGAAAACCATATCTGATTTGAAGTTTGGACGAAACATAAATCATCTCAGAGCCAAGCCCAAATCTTCAATCTGGTTCAGTCAAAAACTAATCCAGATTAGATTAGAGATTAAAGGAGTACAGAATTTAGTAGACGAGCACAGCTGGGTGTCGTCGGCATAGCAGAAAGGTTATTTTTTCATTTGGTGAAAATAAAACTAGAGGAAGTAATTAAATTCTAAAAAAGTCAAGTCTAAGAACTGAACCCTGAGGCATACCGCTGGTGTCTGTGGCCAGATGTGATCAGAGTGTTAAGAGTTGGAATTCAGATGTTTGATGTAATGATGTCTTTCTGCAGCGACGTCCACAGCCTTCAGTCTCCGGTCAGCGAGCGGATGGAGGGGTACGTTCGAAGCCAGCGCCCCCTGCTGGCTCCACAGCATCCCTCCACCCACAGGAGCTTCTCCGACCAGGAGGACCAAGACCTTCAGCTGCCCAACGGTCGCAGCGTCTCTCTGGTGGACCTTCAGGACTCTCAGAGCCTCCACGGCCCCGTGGAGCCACCACTGCATCACGAGGCTCCGCCCCGCCTCAGCAGGGTGGGCTCCCAGGCCTCTGTTGGACACGGTCCGCCCCCCATAACTTACCCTCATTCCAACCCGGTCACACCCCAGCCGGTGGCACACCAGGCCAAAGCCCCGCCCAGAGACGGGCTGCCGCAGAGCGCGCCACAGGCACGGCGGCCGCTGCACCCCTCCCTCAGCCAGCAGCGCAGCCTGCAGCCGCTGTCCTTCCAAAACCCCGTCTACCAGCTGAGTAACCCCTCCCACAGCCTCTCTGCACGCTCCGCCCACTCGCTGCGGCATGACTCCAGCTCCGAGAACCTGAGCACCGAGAGTTCGCACAACAGCCACAGCACCTCAGACGACTTCGGCAGCCAGGCGGGGGTCAAAGGTCGCACTGCGTCCAACAGCAGCCTGGATGAGGTGGGCAGCAGACGGAGCACACAGAGCGAGGAGTGCTCCAAGCCGCGCCGCCACGTGCCGGCAGACCTCCCACTGGGCGCCGCTACAGCCGTTGCCGTCCCCCGTCAGAGCACGACGGCAGGCACCGCCCACATCATCAAGGTGGAGCAGCAGAGTAAGGCAGGGGGCGGAGCTGGGATGCCACGCTCTCAGCCACAGAGTGCCTCGCTGCGCAGCAGTAGCAGCGCCAACACTGAGCCGACTCCTGCAAAACGCCAGCAGGCGGTGGAGAATGTGGCTCCGCCCCCAAGGAGTATTGCCAAGCAACCGACACCGGTACGCAGGGCTCTGAGGACGCTGCTCTCTCACTGGTGCAGGTGAGTCTAATGATGTCACCGGTCTGTGTGCAGGTGGCGGCGCCAGTGGAGGCGGTGGCGATGTCTCCGGTGGAACGCACGGCGGCGTGGGTCCTCAGCAACGGGCAGTATGACGAGAAGGAGGAGCAGGAGGGAGGAGAGCGGAGCCGCGAGGAGTGCAGGAACGCAGAGAAGGTAAACCTTGACAACAGCTCTCACCTGCCAAATAAAACCAGAGAAGAACAACTGTTGTAGGTTTCCTTATTTCACCCGTTTCCTGCCGAGGCTTTAGTCCTCATGTGTGATCAAATCATCTGACTTCGCCTCCTGCAGTACGAGCTGGAGATCTCTCAGCTGAAGGACCGCCTCCGGTTGTCCGGGCGCCGTCTAGAGGAATACGAGCGGCGGCTGCTGGCTCAGGAACAGCAGATGCAGAAGCTGCTGCTGGACTACAAGAACCGTCTGGAGGACAGCGAGGAGCGGCTGAGGAGGCAGCAGGAGGAGAAGGACGGCCAGATGAAGAGCATCATCTGCAGGTACGGAAACACCTGAACGCCTAAACCCCGGAGGCGAAAGAGAAAAACCAGACCTAGGCCACTGATTGGTCCACAGAGCCCGGACCAGAGATGTTCCCTCCGTCTGACGTCTGTTGTCTCTACAGGCTGATGGCGGTGGAGGAGGAGCTAAAACGGGACCACGCTGAGATGCAGGCGGTGATCGAAGCCAAACAGAAGATCATCGACGCTCAGGTACAGTACCACCACCACCATCATCATCATCAGGTGCTGATGGTTAGGTGTGACATGAAGACTGTGGGTGTTCGTTTCCACGCCGTTGATCTGAAGCAGCGGCGGTGAGTTGGGGCCACCGCTCTGCTTCTCATAGTCTCTTTACTGATTTCAGGTCAGTAACGGACGTGAAATAAACCAATCAGGCAAGTAACTGTAGCCCCGCCCCCTGCTCTGCCATGCTGGCCTTGATTGGTTTGATTTATTTTCATACAAACACGTTAACAACAAAGCGCTGACACGCCCCGCAGCTCTGCAGCTGACCAACCAGGGAGCAGCTTCACCCGTTTGGAGTCTTTGATTTTATTTTAGCTTTGTTTGAGTTTTATTTTGAAGGAGCAGGTTAAATAAAGTCAGATTTTATTTTGTGTTAAATGTTTCAACAGAAAACCAGCAGACTTCTATAATAAAATAGATTTGTCCTGAAGCCTCCAGCGGGCCAACAGCGCCTCCTTGTGGTAGAAAGGTGCATTATAACAACAGACTGTAAATGTTTGTAGTTTTTCATTTTTAAATCCCACTAACTGAATTAGTGCAGATAAAAGTTGTAAAAGTTAAAGCGGTCTGATCCGATCCCTGCTGGTGTTTCATGTGTTGGGCTGCGGGCGTGGCCAGCTCTGGGTTTTATTTTTGTTTGGCTGCAGACCTCCACCCCCTCATCCTCACCCTCCCCTCCCTTTGAACCACCCCAGCTTCCTGTTCACCCTTTCAGAATAATAGGAGCAGCTGTGGAGGAGATGTGGTCGGACGGCAGAGCTGTCCAAAGCTTCAGTTTTACTCTTTTATTTATAGTTTATTTGAGAAGTTTTACGTGTTTTCAGTTTGTTTGGCTGCTGCCCTCAAACTTCCTGGAAAGAAACATGTTTTTATTTCTAAGTTCTACAGCTGCTGCCGGGTCAGAACCACCTCACTGGTAATGACATTAAATGGAAATAACGGGTTTTAAATGGATATTTTCTGCAGTGCAGGGTCATGTTCATGGTTTAAAATCATATGCAAGTGAGCACAACTTGACAGTCACTCTTTTCTTTAAAGTTCATGAAAAGTTTTTATTTTTATAACCAGAAAACTTTGTGAAGACGGTGCCTGCCCCATTAGTTGTAGCCGCCATCTTGATTCTGAAAAACAAAGAGAAATGTATCAGTTGTTGACGTGAATCCAATGATTACTCTTTTGAGTTTTATTAAAGTCTGTCAAGTGGTTCATGAGATATTTTGCTAACAAACATTATGAACTATAGAGGTTTTAAACAAAGACAAACAAAGGATCACAAGCCTGTGTATCTCTGATTCTGGTCCCAAGCCCGGGTAAAAGGTGAGGGTTGTGTCAGAAAGGGCATCTGATGTAAAACACTTTTACCAAAACTATAATGCAATTTCATTAAAGTGAAACCATACCGGATCGGTCGAGGCCCGGGTTAACATGACCGCCACCGGTGCTGCTGACAAACAGGATGCCGGCAGAAATTGTGCTACTGTTAGTCAAAGATCACGAGGAGGGAAACATGTCAGGAGACAGAGGGAGAAGAGGAAAGTGAAGAATCTAGGACTGAGGGTTGCATCTCTAAATGTGGGGACAATGACAGGCAAAGGTAGAGAGCTGGCTGACATGATGCAGAGAAGGAAGGTAGGTGTTTTATGTGTCCAAGAAACCAAGTGGAAGGGCAGCAAGGCTTGCAGCATTGGAGCAGGGTTCAAACTGTTTTACCATGGTGTGGATAGAAAGAGAAATGGAGTAGGGCTGGTCCTGAAGGAGGAGTTGACAAAGAATGTAGTAGAGGTGAAGAGAGTGTCAGATAGGGTGATGTGCCTGAAGGTAGAAGTAGAAGGTCTGATGCTAAATGTTGTCAGTGGTTATGCTCCACAGGTTGGATGTGATGTGGAGGAGAAAGATACATTTTGGAAAGATCTGGATGAAGTGATGAGAGTATTCCCAGGGAGGAGAGAGTGGTGATGGGAGCAGACCTGAATGGACATGTTGGTGAAGGAAACAGAGGATGAGGAAGTGATGGGTAGGTTTGGTGTCAAGGAAAGAAACCAGGAAGGACATATGGTGGTGGATTTTACCAAGAGAATGGAAATGGCTGTAGTCAACACCTGTTTCCAAAAGAGGGAGGAGCATAGAGTGACCTATAAGAGTGGAGGAAGGAGTACGCAGGTCGACTACATTCTGTGTAGAAGAGGAAACCTGAGGGAGATTGGAGACTGTAAGGTTGTGGCAGGGAGAGCGTGGCCAGACAGCATCGGATGGTTGTGTGGAGAATGACTGTTGTTGTGAAGAAGAGAAAAAGAGTCAAATCAGAGAAGAAGACCAAATGGTGGAAGATGAAGAAGGAAGAATGTTGTGAGAAATTCAGAGAGGAGCTGTTAAAGGCTCTGGGTGGTAAGAAAGAGCTTCCAGATGACTGGACTACTACAGCAACAGTAATTAGAGAGACAGGTAGGAAGGTACTTGGTGTGTCATCTGGACAGAGAATGGATGATCAGGAAACCTGGTGGTGGAATAGTGAAGTGCAGGAAGCTGTTCAAAGAAAGAGGTTAGACAAGAAGAAATATGACAGAGAGAGGACTGAAGAGAGGAGACAGGAATATAAGGAGATGGGACGTAGAGCAAAGAGGGAGGTAGCTAAGGCAAAGCAGAGGGTGTACGATGAGTTGTATGGGAGACTGGACACTAAAGAGGGTGAGAAGGACTGGTACCGATTGGAGAGACAGAGGGATCAGGCTGGAAAGTATGTGCAGCAGGTTAGGCTTGTTAAAGATAGGAATGGTAATGTTCTAATAAGTGAGGAGAGTGTGATGGGAAGATGGAAGGAGTACTTTGAGGAGCTAATGAATGAAGAGAATGAAAGACAAAGAAGAGTAGAGGTCATAGAAACTGTGGACCAGGAAGTGGGAAAGATTAGTGCGGGTGAAGTCCAGAAAGCTCTGAAAAGAATGAAGAAAGGGGAGGCAGTAGGACCTGATGACCAGTGGAGGTTTGGAAATGTCTTGGAGAGATGGCAGTGAGGTTTTTGACTCAAATATTCAATGGCATATTTGAGGGTGAGAAAATGCCTCAGGAATGGAGAAGAAGTGCTGGTGGCCATTTTTAAGAACAAAGGTGATGTACAGAGTTGTAGCAACTACAGGGGAATTAAGTTGATGAGCCACATGATGAAGATCTGGGAGAGAGTTGTGGAAGCAAGACTTAGATGAGAGTTGACTATCTGTGAGCAGCAGGATGGTTTCATGCCAAGAAAGAGCACCACAGATCCATCTTTGCTTTAAGAATACAGATGGAGAAGTACAGAGAGGGTCAGAAAGAACTGCATTGTGCCTTTGTGGATTTATAAAAATTATCTGACAGAGTGCCGAGGGAGGAGGTGCGGTGTTGCACGAGGAAATCTGGAGTGGCAGAGAAGTATGTTAGACTGGTACAGGACATGTATGAGGACAGCAGGACATGTATGAGGACACTCAATCAATCAATCAGTCAACTTTATTTCTATAGCACATTTTAAAAACCACAAGGGTAGCCAAAGTGCTGCACAATAAGACAAAAAGACAAATCAATTAAGACGATAAAAACATACACATACCAGTGTCATGGCAGTTTTGTTAAGATGCCATAAAAGACAGGCAGGACAGTGGTGAGATGTGCTGTAGGAGTGACAGATAGCATAAAAGTGGAGGTGGGAGTGCATCAAGGATCAGGTCTGAGCCCCTTCTTGTTTGCTCTGGTGATGGAACAACTAACAGATGAGGTCAGGCAGGAATCCCCGTGGACTATGATGTTTGCAAATGACATTGTGATCTGTGGTGAGAACAGGGAACAGGTGGAAGAGAACTTGGAGAGGTGCAGTTATGCACGTGAAAGAAGATGAATGAAAGTCAGCCGTAATAAGACAGAGTCCATGTGTGTGAATGAGAGGGAGGAGGTGGAAGAGTGAGGCTACAAGGAGCAGAGGTCACAAAGGACTTGGTGTCCACTCTCCAGGAACATGGGGAGTGTAGTAAAGAGGTGAAGAAGAGAGTCCAGGCAGGATGGAGTGGATGGAGAAAAGTTTCAGGAGTGATTTGTGACAAAAGGGTGTCAGCAAAGGTCAAAGGAAAAGTTTACAAGACAGTGGTGAGACCAGCTATGTTGTATGGCATGGAGACAGAGACATGGACAAAAAGACAGGAGACAGAACTGGAAATGTCAGAAATGAAGATGTTGAGGTTCTCCTTAGGAGAGACAAGGATGGAGAAGATCAGGAATGAGATCTTCAGAGGTACAGCACAGGTTGAACAACTGGGAGATAAAGTTAGAGAGAACACACTGAGATGTGTTAAAGACGGGAGCTGGCTGCAGGCCACCGGACCCGGAAACCGTCTCCAGCCCACGTCTCTCCCCCGGCTCGGACCTCCCTCAGAAGTGGCAACTCACAATATCAATAAATCAAGGAAATGTCAATTAAGTTTTATCAAGGCAGGAAAAAATTACAGTTTACAGCGCTGGCCTTTCCGGGACAGTTCGACACGAGCAGCAACTGGAAGGGCCGATGTCCCGTGTCATTACTCATTTATAGGGTCCTGGACTCCTTCCCAGAAGGAGAGCTCAACCTGTCAGTGTATGAGGGGGTGTGACTAAGTGTGATCTCAATGGATCTTATGTGGTTCTGATGTGTTAGGAAATATGAGACGGTGCTTCAAAAAGCCTTTATATGTGATGTGGCAGATTAAACTCTATTCCTTGACTGATATGGCATCCCAGGGAGACTCTTTTTAGAGCTGCTGGCCCAGTTTAACCCAGTCAGAACCGGGTCATAATTTCATTATAATCCCGTCTCTGAGCAGATCAAGACCCCAGGACCAGTCTAGATAAAATATCTTAACAGATGGTTTGGACATGTCCAGAGGAGGAACAGTGGTTTGGACATGTCCAGAGGAGGGACAGTAGTTTGGACATGTCCAGAGGAGGAACAGTAGTTTGGACATGTCCAGAGGAGGAACAGTGGTTTGGACATGTCCAGAGGAGGGACAGTGGTTTGGACATGTCCAGAGGAGGGACAGTGTGTATATTGGTAGAAGGATGTTAGAAATGCAGCTGCCAGGATAAAGACAGGAGACATATGGATGCAGTTGGAGAGGACATGGAGGTAGTTGGAGTGAGGACAGAGGACACAGAAGACAGAGTGAGATGGAGGAGGACTCGCTGTGGAGATCCCTGAAGAGGGAAAAGCTAAAGAAGAAAAAGAGAGTTTTTAAACAAAGACCTGTATGAACTGTCAGAGGATGCATTAAATAATCAGTATATGTAAAAATAGCTTACATTCATCAAAGCCCATCCTCAATAATCCAGGTATACAGTCCAACATTTTTCAGCCAGGTCATCTGGACAGTTTCTTTTTTTGTGCTGAAACGTTTCGCCTTCAATCCAGAAGGCTTCATCAGTCAAGGAAACACACAACAAAACTGATTCTTCCTCCAACAGCTTAATTCAAAGTGGAACAAACCAGTTTTGTTGGTGTTAAGATGGATGAAGCCTTCTGGATCGAAGGCAAAACGTTTCAGCACAAAAAATAAACTGTCCAGATGACCTGACTGAAAAATGTTAGATTGTATACCTGGATTATTGAGCATGGACTTGGTTGTTTTCAACCAGTTTGACACGACTGTTAACAAGGAAGAGTGCCGGCAATGGAGGAGGGGCGTACCAAAGAGACCATCTTATCACAAGTAGAACTGGTTTGTTCCACTTTGGAGTAAGCTGTTGGGAGGAAGAATCAGTTTTGTTGTGTGTTTCCTTGACTGATGAAGCCTTCTGGATCGAAGGCGAAACATTTCAGCACAAAAAAGAAACTGTCCAGATGACCTGACTGAAAAATGTTGGCGCTTACATTCATGTTTTGTTTCTAAGTTAAATAAGAGGAAACAGTTTGGTTTTAACCTGATAGCCTTTGTTTTTATAACCCATTAAAATAAACTTTTTTTCTGAAATCCATACCTGTCAGTCTGAAGTCTTGTCTCTGTCCAATCAGGAGAAGCGGATTGGCTCCCTGGATGCGGCGAACTCACGACTAATGGCGGCACTGACGCAGGTGAAGGAGCGTTACAGCACGCCGAACATCCGCAACGGGCTGCCGCCGAGTAACCCCACAAAACTGTCCATCACTGAGAACGGGGAGTTCAAGAACAGTAGCTGCTGATTGGTCCACTGCCAGTCAGTGGGTGGAGCCTAATGAGGAGGCTCCACTCCACCCCTGAAAGAAGCTGTAGACATCTAAAGTGACAGAAATGATTTAAAGACGAAGAATCTGTAAAAGAGAATGTAAATACTAAATTTTGTCTGTTCATTGTACAGAGAGGTGTGTGCGTGCTTACATGAGCGTGTGCGTGTGAGTGTGGTGGGGGTTACAGTGCATGGCAAAAAACAACCACACCAAAAACAGAATATAAATAATTTTCTAACCAAATTTTTTAAGGTTTTCATTTGAAGCTTCTAGTTTTTGTTGTCAAATTTCAAGCTTCGATCTTCTCCTTTGATGTTTCTGAGTGAAGGTTTTTTTTTCCTTTTTTTTTTTTACCTGACAAGTTGTTTGTTTTTTATTTATTTCTCCTGGTTCTCATCTTTATTGCTGATCTACTGAAGAGACCTCAAAAGCTTGGGGTCAAAGGTCACACCTGTCTACTGTCCCGCGTTGAGAATAAAAGTGTCTGAAAGGTCCTCGTTGTCTCTGCATCAGTCTGTTTGGATGCTTCACAGATGACACACTCAGCTTTCTGTGTTGTGATGTTCTTAGCTCTATTTATCTTCAAGTCAGTTTTGAAAATAATTTTTTGTATAGCTACACTGTAATTGGCACCCCGTGTGAGGCCTTTTAACACCTAACATCCACATTAGTGGTGCCATTATTGTTTAGATCATTCATACTTTATATTCTAGAAAAATCTTTTTTCTTTTTCACCATTAGCTTTTAATTTCAGTCAGTTCCCACAAATGTTCTAACATGGTACTGCTGGACATCGCTCACATAAACGTCTTCATTTCTGCAGTAAATGGATTGTATCTGCACAGTGACCACAGGAGTAAACCCATAGAAATGTTTCCAAAACGAAGTTCTGGCAGTGCTGAGTTTAATTTTTTATTTTGGAGTTTTATTTTTACTCTTCATTTTAATTTATAATAAAAAACAGAAGATTCTTAGTTTACCAGGCTAATTGATTGACAGGAAACCAGGCTGATTGATTGACAGGACATCAGGCT